ATATTTTGATCTTGTGTCTTTTCACATAATTATCCAAAACTAAAATTATTCAACGATTTTTCTATGCGAAAAAATTAATTACTGCATAGGACGTCTAAAATTATCGCGATCTTAGTAAAATAAACAAACCGTTTAATAAAAAATGTTTTAAAAACCGGTTAATTTTTAAGGAAACCGGGTCAGACCTCAGGGTCCAAAATTCTTGAGCACAGTCTTAGTCTTATTCAATTATCATAAAGTTAGGCTTAAAATGATCATATGAACATAAAAAATCAATCAAAAAACAGTGCCTTTGAGATTTTTATTTTGAAGGTTATCTTACCGGTCATTATATGGATTTTTGAGGCCAAAATTTGATATTTGAGCCCATTGAGCGGGGTCAAAAAATTATCCAAATAACTCAAATTTTGTTTTTTATTGGTCACAGAGTACACCCACAGCACATGGAAAACAGTGCCTTTTGATTTTCAAAAATCAGGGGCGTTTAGCCTACCCTAATATATATATATATATATATATATATATATATATATATATATGTATATATATATATATATATATATATATATATATATATATATATATATATATATATATATATATATATATATATATATATATATATATATATATATATATATATATATATATATATATATATAAGGGGCTGTCCATTAATTACGTCAACAAAATTGGGGAGGGGGGTCTAAAGTTTTTTGACAGTTGTTGACACGGGGGAGGGGGAAGGTCAAGTAAAGTTGACGTCAACAATGTTTTTGTTTTTAAAAATTTCATTACTCAAAAAACAGAAAATTACGCGGTATTTTTTTCATTTGAGGGGGAGGGGGGATAATCAAAAGTTGACGTAATTTTATAGGGGGGGTCTCTAAAAGTTTGACAAATTGTTGACAAGGGGGAGGTAAAAATTTCAAAAAATTTGTTGACGTAATTAATGGACAGTAATTAATTGATTGTAGTAATTTTTTGTAGATTGTAGTAATTATGTAGTAATTATGTAGTAAGAATGTAGTAATTTTTTGTAGATTGTAGTAATTAATTGAAGTAAATAATTAAATGACGTAATTAATGGCCCCTAAGAGAGTTGTTTCTAGGAAAGTGGGGAGGCAACAGGATAATTTTGCCCTAGGCCCTAATGATTTTAGGAACATCAGGCAAAAATGAAGGACATTCTTTGTATTTTGAAACACCATATTTGCCTTTTACTCATCAATAAGGTTGTTGTGTAGAGGCAGGGCTATTATAAGGTATAATACCCCCTCCTCCCACCCCATCTAGATTTGTAGCCAACAAGTTGACAAATTTGGATCTAGATGTCAAATATAAAAATCAAGAACTTTGTTTTTAAGTTAGAAGATATGCTTATTACCCCCACCCCCAAAAAAAAATTATTTGCACACAAATAAATCTGGAACACATGAATAAGTAAGAATAACAAAAAAAAACTTTTACTTTGCACCTATTTATTTAGATGTATGGTGTCATAATCTTGACCCAGTTGAGCTGGGAGAGGCCCATTTTATATATAATCTCAGATATAATCTGATTAATACAAGAGATGACTAGAATTTTGACATTTGGGTAAGATTTAATAGGCCAACTAGGATACTTTTTTTTCCTTTTAGGGGACTAACTTAAAAAATTGATTTTGCCTAGCTAATTATACAAAATATTTTGCCCCTGATTATATAAATCTGGCACAAATATACACACTAAATAAACACACACACACACACACACACACACACACACACACACACACACACACACACACACACACACACACACACACACACACATATATATATATATATATATATATATATAGCATTTGTTGTAGGTTGTTCAAACCGAGGTAGGAGGTAGTATCACTAGCGATAGTATCACAATAAAATTATATATATTATATCAGGAGTCTATTAGTCAGTCAGAGCAGAAAGTTAACATGAAAGTTTTTGTTTATTATAAATTTAAAACTATTATGTGTATATTATAATTTTGTACTACTATTTCATAAGAGTCCTTTGGGGTTAAGGTCCTAAATTCCTTATCAATCACTTATTGACACAAACAAATCAAAACATTTGACACAAAAAAAAATCTTTGAAAAAAAAAATATTTTTTATGAAAAATAAATAACAGAGTTACTATGCCAATTATGCTTTTATGAAATTTGTTGCTATGAAAATAGCAGTTTTTGAATGTGATATTTCATTAAACTATTTATTCGAATCCAATAGATGTTTTTTTCATTTTTGAACGGAGTGATTTTGACTTTGTTTGATTTTCTTTAAGTTTGTGGATACTTAGTTTTTCTTTTGCATATGAAAAAGATCTTACTCTAACATAAAGTGTAACTAGATGATAAAACAAGTTTAAAGACAGTTTTTTGGATACTTGATTTGTGCAAAGACTACGAAGTTCAGATATGCTTGCCATAACAACACTGTTTTTTAAAATTTCTGTTACAATCAGTTCTGAATCAATTTTTTTTACAAAACCATTACTTTGTTGGCGAAAGAGAACCTCGACTTTGGTAAAGATCTCTAAAACTGGAGGAGACACTTTCCACAAACTACCGCGATTTTTTGCATTTACAAATTTATGGTAAAACTCAGTGGATGGTTCAGGATTCTTTAAAAAATTTTCAATTTTACCAGCATTAAGAAGTGAAAGGCAGTCTGTGCTTAACTTTTGCTGCCATAACCGTGAACTCCGAACTCTGCAATAAAATGTACTGAATACATAGCCACTTAAATACAAGATTATTTCTTTATCTCGATATGAAAGTTCAAAAGATGATAAATCATTTAAATTTATTAAAGAATTATTGTAAAATGAGTTTGTAAGAAACGCTAAAACATGATTGCATAGTTCACATCCAAGAAGTCTAGTTGTTTTTTTACTTAGATAGTTTATGAAAATATCACAATTAATATCTTTGTAAAATTGAGGATAAAACTTTTCTGCATCACCATTAGCTTGAAAACTGGCTATTGTTGTCTCTAATAAAGATAGGGTTTGTTGTGAAGTTTCTAATAGCATTGCATGATTTATTCTCAACTCGTTTCTATACAAATCAGGATAGCATTCGTCGTCAATTAAAGTAGTAATGCTTTTATCAAGCAGACTTTTAAACTCGCTAAGAAGAATAGGGGGTTTAGGATTTTGTAATGTTAAGTCCGAAGGAATACCTTTATGCTGTGAGTTTGTATGCCTTGTAAGGCCTCTTTGAGATATGCATTTCTTAGAGTAAATTGTACAAGAAAATGTGCTTTTAACTGGTTCAATGGACAACTTCAACACCAAGGCGTCTAAATCTTTATTAAAATTTTCGTCTTGAAAAAGGAAATCGTCCTCCAAAGAAAAAAGTAGTGTTTCAATATCAAATTCGCTATTTAACTCTATGTCCGTTTCCATATTTTGTGCACTCTGTTCCTGGCCGTTCGACAGTTTTCAAGTGTTTTTAACGAATATTAGAAAAATCAAATAATACGGCCCGAGTGACCAGACAATCTATTTCTTATGACTATGGTTTCACATTTATTGTGCGTTGACTTCGGTTTGACAACCAAGAAATTTGCGATAAAAGAAATTCGCAAATTAACTTCATTTGAGGCATATTTAACTTATTTGATATTGTCAAAACATTTTAAAGACTATTATTTTGCTCTGGTTTTAAGGGCACCCAAAAAAGATTAAGTTGTCTTCTTGGTCTTGTTACTGAGCTATTCAAAAAAACATTTAACGAGGAATTTCTTTTTTTTCCCTCGCTAATATCATTTTTATGACCAGATTTAAAACAAAGATTTTAACCAATTTAAAAATTTAAAAAATTATCTGTGAATGTAAATTTATTCTTAAGTAAAGGGGGAATGAAGAGAGTCATTTATATACAAAGATGCTGTTTACCAACAGAGGGCGCTATTTGTAGACATTATGACAAAAAAATAATCTAGCAATATTCAAAAGTGTTAGGGTTTTTTTTTCTGTGGTTATTAAGGTGCTCCCAGAAGTCCTTATGGTCTTATCCCAGAGTACCGCCTAAAAGCATTTAACTAGGAATTACACGCCTACTTCCTTACCAATGTCGCTTATTGGGCTAAAGCCGACATTGAATCTCGGACCTCTTGGTTCTGAACCAGAACTCTAACCACTGCGTCACGGTTGCACACGTCTGTGCAAGACAGAGTTTATCGACAAAGAAAGTTAAAAACACTGTTTTCTTTTTTATAAATCAAATAGTTCATATTCTTTTAGAAAAAGAAAATAAAAATAGTCAATTACCTAAATATTAGCTGAAACCTTAAAACACTTTTAACAACAGTTAACCTAATAATAACTTAAAATTTAATCGTGTTGGCTTTAACCACCCACCAATCAATATTTCGACCATCCACCAACCAAATGTTTTAAAGAAACTAACGCATTCAAATAAATTTAATTTCAAATCTTTTAATATTACAAAAACATATTTCAAAAATGTAACCCTGAATGCAATAACGAAAAAACTGGGTTACAATTTTTATCTGTTTATTAAAATAGATAAAAATTAATAATGAAACTTAAGCAAAAAAAAAACTAAAAAATATTATTAGTACATAAACATATCAGCATATCATATGAACTGAAACATGTTTTTATTAAATTTATACTAAAATATTTACTTTTGAAGAAATTTTTTACCAAGCTCCCATAACTAAAAAAAGGTAATATTATTAGATTACTTTAATATCAAAATATATTAAATCATCTTTCCAAAATGAGTCGCAACGCCTCGAGTAAATAACATAACATGTGTTTTTTTTTTACAATTTTTCAAAAAAAATTTATATAAAAAAAAGGTCCTTAGGAAAAAAAGTCGGGAGGAAAGGAGGGTGGTGGTGGTTGTGTCACCGTATTTATTTTATTTTAATCGTTTCTATTGTTTCTATCAGTTATTTCAATAAAACGTAAATTTTGAAAAAAGAAAATTTGCAAACTTCAAACTTTGTCATTTCGTTTATTTTTACTTATAACTTTTACTTAATACATATTTACAAAACATTAGTAAAGTAAGGTTACGTAAGATTCGTAAAGTAAGGTTAGTAAAGTATTTTGCTTGGTTTTATCTTTTCACATGTTGTTTTATTAGTAAAGCTTGTATCAATAAATGATTTTTATCAGCATATTAAAGGGAAATTTACCAAACTTTTCATACGTCTACATGTATATATGTACACATGAAAAAATCTTGTAAAAAAAACACGTATTAATCACCTCGTAAATCTGTTAATCGAGTAAGAAATGCAATAGTTTTTGTATTTTAATTGTTAAGTTGTTTGTTACTCTCCTTGAAAACAATTTTAAACTTTTTTATAATCATAGGCAGAGTGCTTTCATTTAAATTGATTGACCTATTAGCAACATCATAAACATGCTGAACTTTCGGTTATATATTTGCCCTTTGTATTTAACTTACTTTGAACTTTATTTGTAACGCAACGCACGTATAAAACTTTGGTCAACTATAATAATTCGTTTTTAATTTAAGGTTTACTCCGATCGTGACTTTCATTTTCATCTTCATCATTTTCTTCTAAGGACCAATGCTGAGCTTCACCAGAGCATAATAAGCAAAAAAGTATTGTACCACCAAGATATATCAAGAATGTTATCCAAAACACTAGTTGCCATTGCGAACGTAACTGAAATCAATTTGAATTATTAATAAAATTATTGTATTTAAATTATAATATGTAAACTATTTCAATAAACAAAATTAAATAGTAAACATTTTACAATTAACATAAGTATCTGGGGTAAGAGAGGTTGCGGCCCTGGGTAGGAAAAAGGGAGAAAAATCAAGCAGCATAAGTGTCTCGCTCTACTTTCAAAGTTTTTAAAATAAAATGCAAAACATAAATTGCTACCTATCTATGAATAATGTTTTGCCACTAACTTGTACAATTTTTTTTTAGACAAACACAGATAAAAACATCTCAACTAACCTTATCTTCAGTCAAAAAACCAACAAGAAGCGGACTTAAAAACCCCGTCGTTGTTCCAGCAGTATTTGTAATACCCATAACAATTCCTGCTAATGAAGGAGCAATATCAAGAACATTAACTTCATACCCGCTGTGCAATAGGCCAGACATAGCAACCCCAACGCACATACTCAAAACTGCAAACATTGGCGAATCCGTGTATCCTGCTATTACTATCATTACAGCTGCAGACATTGCCCCTGTAATTAAAAAAAAATCAATAATTTAATACAAGGTTTTAAAATGTAAGTAAAACTACTTTAAATGTATTAATATTGTAACAACCTATAGCGTAAAATAATTGTCGAACAGCTCTTGTACTCATGCATTTGTAACGCAATATATCTGCTACCACTCCACCGAGAGGACCAACAATTGCTTTTAAAAGGAATGGAAGTGAAGCAACAAAGCCCATCTTAAAAAATATAAACACACTTTTTTTTAATGGAATTGGGTTTTAAATATTATTTAAAAATTTCCAATCTCTAATAAATATGAAACATTGTTTTTAACACAATAGCCTAACAACAATCACCGTTCGGTACGGACTAAAATAATATTATTAAAACCGTTTCAGCCTAACTCTACAAACACCAATTAAAATAAACCTGAACATTATTCAAAATACCGTTTGCACGTTAAATCTCATTATATCCATAAGAAATAATGGAAGACATATAAGAATAGTGTATAAACCCCAATCACTTGCAACGTTGCCAATTATAACAGCCCAAACTGGTTTCGATGTAAGCATAGCTTTCCATGGAACTCTCATACTCTAGAAAAAAAATTTAAAATTAAGCAATAAAAACAGTAGAAAACTAAAAAAAAATTGTAAAAATTGAATTTTACAAATTTTATAAGTAAGATTTATAAATTAGACCAGCAGTTTTAGAACATAGCTAATCCTAGTTTTAGAACATAGTTCGGGTAGGATTTGTATCCTGATCTAAACTATATAAAAATATAGTTTAGATCAGGATACAATTCCTACCCAAACTTGTAAATTTTGTGTTCGAATCTAAATCCGAATTTAGATATGGATAAAAAATTAAGACTTAAAAGGAAAAAAGTTATTATACAATATACAATAGAAGTTTTTATAATATGTAAAATAAACTAACTTTTTGTATGTAAAAGAGTATTTTAATTTTTATCACATTTATTATTTTTATAATCTACAGTTGCAGATAAAATAAAACAAGACTTGTTTAAATTTTGTAAAGCAAATCAAAGTAGAATTTCTTACGTTTAAAATTCTTGTTTTTAATTCTCAGCATAAATCGTTGCTTATATCAATTTTACATAATTGTAATTATTTTAATTTAAAACAAAAGTAACATTTTTTCTGCATTTGGCAAATTTGAGACTCTTTGGTTTCTTCTCCATATTTTACACCTTTGACCATATGTTCATTTTATGGTCATGCCCTTTGAGGTTTCATGTTTAGAAATTAATACAATTTACGTTTTGTTTTACAACCGAGACTAAGAAAATTTAATTTTCATTATGTAAATATGTTAAAAGAAAGCCATTTTTAAAAATAAGTCAAATCAAAGCAGCAATACTACTTTTGTAAAATTTTGTACTAAGTGAATGGCTAAGTCTCATAAATGCAAGGTTGATCTACGTTAATAAGAAAAATATTTCACTGTATTATTGTCATTCTCGCTCATTAGAAATCATACACAAACAATATAACGAACGCAATTCATTTAGTTAATTTCTGCTTTTCCTCAAATTTTTTGAAATTCAGAAAAGCAGACATTTACGAGTCCGACCTTTTTTATTTGTTGCCGGACAGGCTGTTGAAATACCGAACTGTTCGGCTTAAAACGGAACACCTGGTACAGACTAAACATAATATTGTCAAGTTTCATGTCTTATAATCAAATGTTGTTAAAACCTGATTGTCAACAATTTAAATTTTATAAAACAATTTTTATTGGCGCGAGCAAATAAAATATTTTTTATATTAAATGCATTTTTAACTGTTTAAAATGCTAATTCAATTACATTTAACAGTATAATGCAGCAAAGTGTAACACTTAAGAAAACTATGAAAATACCATAATAATTTTATGCACGGATTCATCAACACTTTGAAAAGTAACTATATATAACAAAATGCCTGGAATTTATACTGAATACCCAAACAAAAAAATCTGAATCTTATCTGGATCCTAGAACAAATACACAGTTATCCGTGAATTTGGGTCCGAATATTTTGATCCAATTTTGTCTAATTATATATGTACAAGTTTAATTTAAATCAAAACCAACTTCAAATAGATATATTACATAAATTATAATTATAAGTTGGCGCAAAATATAAAATATGCTTAATTTCATAAAAATAAATATAGATTTTTATGGAATTAAAACTTACCCTTCTATGAATGACGTTTTTATTAATATAGTTTCGTTCATCTTTTGTTATTGTTGGATGTGAGTTTGGTGTAGCATGAACAACAAGTAACCATAACAAGAACCAAGCAATTCCGAATAATCCTAAATATATTTTAAAAACTTTAAGCAATAAAAAGAAGTGCAGGTAGTAACTGATCCAAGTATGTTGAAGATTACGTTAACAAATTGCTTACCAAAACAATAAAATACTGATGCCCAACCTCCATCAAAACCATATTTAGTTAAAAGCCCTGTCAACGGCATTGTTACTACTGTCCCAACATTCATTCCGGCAACTGCTATTGTTACAAGAGTAGACCTTTCTTGAAGTGGCGCCCATAAACTCCATATTTGATGGTTACATGGTAGCATAACGCCCTTTAAAGTTAAACTTATAATTATAAAAATTTGTTAAAAATATATATACTTTTTAAATAAAAATTATATTTGATAGCTTTTGTAAGTTTCTTTAAAAAAATCATTACAATCATTTTTATTAATCAAAACCTTGAAAACTCAAGAAATTATGCACATGGCAAATTCATTTTTAAAAAGCCTAAAAAGTATGTTATATAAAATATAAGCCTATAAATTATAAAATATATTATATTATATAAAATTTAAAGATAAATTAATTTTTTTTAATATATATAATTTTTTTCATATTCATAATATATATATATATATATATATATGTATATATATATATATATATATATATATATATATATATATATATATATATATATATATATATATATATATATGTATATATATATATATATATATATATATATATATATATATATATATATATATATATATATATATATATATATATATATATATAAAAGGTCCAGTCTGATGTTAAGCACTGTTACTCTCAATTTACTAAATCTTGTATCTTATATCAGATTAACATCTGGTCAACAATGTTATTAACTAGAGTAAGTCTAACATTTAATCATCATAATTATATAATATTTATTAATATTTCATTTTTAAAAAGTGCTAAATAAGAAAACACTTTGACCTCTCCAACTATCCTACGCGTAGTCTTCACTCTGTTTTTAGTTTCTTTATAGAGATTGATAAATTATTTCTTACTAACTGCAGTAATTAAGTTATTTTGGAAGGACTACACTCTTCTTTATTTCAAGTTACATTAAGGGTATCACAAAGTATCTTGTGGTACCCTTAAACTATTGCTTCTGTATTGTTTCTTATCTACAATATCAATCTTCATGAAAATTTAACATCTATAGTGGCTCTATTTGCTGACGATTCAACTTTACACTCTTATCTTGTCAAAAAATCTTTACTTTTTGATTGCTTAGAATAAGCAGCTGATTTTTAATTGATCTCTTTTCTGTAACAGCCTAAGACTTGCAGTGGCTTATGGATTCAAATTTTGGACTTAAAATCTGCAATTTTTGTTAGAAAACAAAACTAATTTTTTATTAAAAATTGCAATAATGTTAGTATTCCTATATTGATGAATAACAACCCTCTTGATCTCAGTCAAAGTCTAAAAGCACATTGTAAATGTAATGCGGTTGTGATGTAGTCATAAGCGAGATGTACCGAGTTCGATTCCCACCACGTCCCTGGAAGTACCGAGCTCAAATTGTTTCTCTACACAGCAGCTTTGGTTGTCAAGGTTTGTGTTTCGGAGTTATATAGTTGAGAGAGGGTTATAACCGCAATTAAGTAGCCTCTTCGTCTGTAGTGGTGTTTTCAACCTTGTGGAGGTGAGTTAACTTAAAAAACAAAATAACAATAAATAAGACCTGCTTTAATATGCCAAGCCTGAGCCACTCTCCCATTGTTGCAAGGTTGCATTTCTTTTTTTTTTCTACAAATACAATCATGGTTAATGCTCAAACAAGCTATCATCTCTATTACGATAAACCAAAACTTATTATTGCTTGTTTCTTATTCAACAAGTTGCATCCTTTTACTGTATCTGTCCCTTCATGCAATAAAAGTTTTTATTAATCCAGTTTTTTTCCTTGCACACCAAAAAACCTTATAACTATAAGCCATCTTAAACTTTTTCTCTTATATACAACCTACAACTTTTCAAGTCTTCAGTTAACCATTTTCTACTATTTTTTTACTTATTCCTTATTTTAAAGTAACTCATAACTTAATAGTGGTTGCTTGGAATCTTGTTGGGAGTAAATTAGAGTTTAAAAATATATAAATATAAGCCAGTATTTAATAAATAGTAAATGTAAGCATAAAATTGTAATGTATAAAGTATTATAATTTTTTTTCCAGCCCCGGCTATCAATCCCTACTAAATTTTATAGTTTAGCCGGAGCCGGGTTTGAAAAAAGGCTCATTTTTAGCCAGGGTCACTTACTAATCATAGTTTTAATAGATTCTCTCTAGTACCAATATTGTACTGATTTTAAAAAAAGATTTCTTTATTACTCATTTCCCTATATAAAAAATTAACTTAATTTAAATTGTAAGGTAAATATAATACATTTTTAACACACAGTCTTTTGTAAACATTTTATGATTTTTATGATAGATGGATATTACAGACGAAAATCAAATTGTGCAAATCGGTATTAAAACAATTTGAAGTTAGCTGTCAAATATAAAGTAATGAAATTACCTAAAGCTAGAAATGAATATTTGGTTAGAAAAGATTCTCTAAACAGAAGAGTTAATGAGTAAATAAAAACAATACCTGTTGATAAACCACACGTGATTGGTTTTTATAGAAAAGTGTTTTTTAATGCCTAAGAAAAAGATTTAGCTCAGAATATCATGACGACACTATTTCAAAGTATGAACATAGAATTAATTAAAATTTCTGAATGGTTCAAATTAAATAAGCTTGCATTGAAAAGATTGACTTAACATTGAAAAAACAAAATGGTCTTTTTTTCATCCATACTAAAAAAACATCTTTGACCAAGTGAATTGTCTGCTTTTTTTATAGATGAAATGCAAGTTAAAAGTGTAACAGCTAAAAGTTTTTTAGGGGTTTTTATTGATGAAAATCTGACATGAAAAAAACATTTAAAACTTATTCTCTAAAATTTCCAAAAGTATAGGAATACTATTCAAAATAAGAAGCATGCTAAATAAACATACTATAATTCAGCTATATTACTATTTTATTCATTGCCATTGTGTAAGCAAAACTAAATTAAGACCACTTTATCGCCAACAGAAACGTATTGCGCGACTAATTTTAAACATCGTTTTTATCATGCTAAGCCTCTTTTAAATCAAATGAATATTCTTAATATACATCAACTTAACATTTTTAATGTATTGTGTTTTATGTTTTAATGTAAAACTCGCACATCTCCAATTTCTTTTCACAATTTATATTATATAAATGTTAAAAATAAATACAATTTGCGTTATGAAGATTTTATTCTTCAACCAGATTTCAAAACTAATTTTGGTAAATTTTGTATTTTATTTAGAAAAGCATTTTTATGGAACAAAGTATTAAAAACTTATGTATGTGTAAGTATATATATTTACATGTTTGTATGTCTAAATATGAGTAAATACTTGTATTTGTATTTATATATAAATTATTAAAGGATTTTCTTTAGACGGTTCTCGATGACAAGATCTTATGGTCTTCTGCGAGTATCCGCGTTCTTATTTTTACGTTAACAAAATTTGTAATTCTGAATATATGTATTTTATGTATTTTATTAATTCTTATATTGTAAAACTAATGTGAATAAATAAAAAGAATTAAAAAAAATATCTCCATGACTATTTATAAAAGAAAACAGACGATAGATTTATTGATAGATGATGCACCACCAGGAACAGTCGAACGCTGTTCTAAAAGTGTTTGGGAAGAGACTAATCTTTTTATGGATTTTAGACACTTTGTGATACTTTAACACTGTTAATAAGTATTTTTTAATTTTTGATGGTCACAAATCACAGACCAAAAATCTTGATCTTCTCATATACGCTAACAATAATGAATTGCATATTTTATTACTTCCACCATATACATTCCATAAGCTCCAATCACTTGACCAAATATTTTTCAAGTCTCTTAAGAGTGCTTATAACTCAGTATGCACAACATAGATGAGAAAGCACCCAGGAAGAAGAATTACAGTTGATAAATTTTCAGAACTGTTTTAGTGAAAGCAGCTAAAGTCGAAAATGCTATTTCTGGATTTCGATTTACAGCTTCAACCTTTTTAATTGAGAAATCCTTTATTGAGTCAGATTATTTTAAGAATCCATGTTTAAAAAATAGTAATACAAACTTAATATTTTTTGAAATAGCTGATGTAAATCCTGCACGACCGTCTCCAGTTTATTCTTTCATTCAGCCAAACCAAAATTCGAATGCTTAAATATCCATTGCTAGTTTTATGAAATAAATATTGCTAGTTTAGTTGATGAAACAAATGTTTTGCTGTGAATTTTAAACTCTTGTTAGCTTTTTTTACTAATATAACGAATTCCAACTATTGAAGTTAAAAAAACAAAAAGAAAGGGGAAACAGTTTAAAATTTTTTGCACGAGGGGTTAGAATACAAAAAACACGTTAAATGCGACAAGAAAAGACTATCAGAAAAAAAAAATTTCTAATTATTTTTTTACTTATTTGATCATTTTCTAATTATAATAACTTTATCAAGTGTAGTTTGAACAAAGAATGAATTGAATTGAATGAAAAGTTATAGTGCGCTATGAAAGTAATAACTTGCAGTGTTATTAACACTATTGCAGTGTTATTAACACTATTGCAGTGTTATTAACACTATTGCAGTGTTATTAACACTATTGCAGTGTTATTAGCACTATTGCAGTGTTATTAACACTATTGCAGTGTTATTAACACTATTGCAGTGTTATTAACACTATTGCAGTGTTATTAACACTATTGCAGTGTTATTACTTTTATAATGCAGCTAGTGATTATTGTGTTATTACTATTGCAAGTTTATTGTTTTGTTTTTTATAACTTTTTCGCAAACAATATTAAGTTAATTCGCCCCACGAAAACAAAGTGCACGGTTTTGTATAAAGTAAAATTTTAAAGACCAGATATTTTTCCAGATAGCTTAATTCAATCCTTGTGTTATCAAGAATACAGATTATTTTAAGTGGCATTGAAATGTTTTTTGCATCTAATATAAAACGGCTCGCTTGTTTTTCTTTTACCGAAAAGTATTAGTTTTTACAAGTAATTCTTTCCCCAAACAATATTACATTAGCTAAGACGACTATGGATAAATGAAAAATAAATAAATTTGAAACATTTTCTATCCAACAATCTCAAACATTTTCCAACAAATGCCTTCTTTTGTACTCAATTGCAATACTTTTGAAAAACTTTCTTTAAAAACCTTTTTTTAATAGAGTAATGCACACTAAAACAAAAAGGTAAAAATTTCTACCTTAAAGTAGGATATGTGATAAACCTTTAGTAGGTATAATTTTCTACCTTTTAAAGTAAAAAATTATATTAAAAATAATGATTTGTTGATTATAATTTACTAAGGGTATACCATATATCCTTCCCTAAATCAGATATTTCTACCTTTTTTTTTTAGCGTGTGTGTTCTTCCTAACTTTTTTCATCGAAAATTTTTTATATCAAAATATTCGGAAACTTTGAGAGCAAGGTGTCAGATATAAAAGTTTTAAAAAAATTGCGTGTCTGCAATTAGTTGAATTAATAAAGATTTTGTTACCTATAAATCGTTCATGTAAAACTCTCTGTTCACAGTGGCAAAAAATGTCGTAATGTTAAAAGGGTATAAAGTACTTAAGTGCCGTCAGCAAAAACATTGAATATAGAATACTAATGATAAGTAAGTTTATTTCCTAGCGTATTTATAAATTTTTAAAATTAAAAACCCAAACACAAATATAGTCTTCGCGTTTGTAAAAAATGTTAATATCTATGTTTAGTTATATTGGCGATTGCGACAATGTCAAGGAAAAAAACACGTCTTTTTAAAAATAGCACAAAAATACAAGACAAAACAATCATCAAATTTTTGAGGTTACATTAACTTACCAAGACAAGTCCTTCTAAAATACGTAAAACAACTAATGCCCAAACGCTATATCTTGTTGCAACTGGAGTTAACAAAGTCAAAAGAGATGCAAGGAAGATTGCCCCACCAAATATTTTAGTTCCTCCAAAACGCATTGCAAACCATCCACCAGGAATTTGCAAAAACATGTATCCATAGTAAAAAGATCCAAGTACAACACCTATTTCATATATTTATACTATTTACCTTTAAAATAAAACTTCATAAAACTACTAGTTAGTTTTAATTAATAAAACTAAAATTGCAATATTCAATTGTAATTTACCTTGTAACCTTGACGACCAGTTAAATTCAGGAGGCTAAAAAAATATTTCTAAATAAAGAAATATGCATATATTCAAAATACAATCGTTTACAATAAGCATTAAAAGCTTAATTACCATAGTAACAGCAAAACCACCTTGTGATATTGTATGATTATTTGTCATAGCCCCGATAGCAACGTTAAGATTTACTCGTATGGCATACATATTCATAAATCCCATGAACATCATAATTGCTAAAATGTATCGTTTGGGAAGAAAAACATCAGTTTTAGAATCTTGACCTTCAGATATTGTTGAAGAGCTTTCCGAATCTCCTTCCATTGTTTCGTTTTTTCGTTTAAGTTCAGGGGTGTCTAATTTTCGTACTGCTACAAGACGCGCTTTTTCGCCTGTTTCGTCAATGTTTGAGATTTCCTTTTTTCGTTGATTTTCTGACCAATTTTGAGCTTGTTTTGAAGTATTGTCAGACGGTAATGACGCAGATTTATTGTTAATTGAAACATCTGAATTAAAAACTGGCTTAGGTTTATCATTTCTTTCGTCTCCGGCTGTAGGTGTCTCAGTCGGCGATGATTTTCTTTTTTTATGGTGATATGTACCACCTGGGTATGTAGAATAGTGTTCTGTACCGCTTTGTTTAGGGTAATTGTGAGTTGTATCTTTCAAGCCATACGAATTATTTAAATTTTTTTCTTCTTTGTTTGGTTCGTTTGACGTAATTTCTGCATTATTATAAAAAGTTTTCTCTCCAATTCTACTTTGAAGTGGTACAGAATGTTCTGGGTATACAGAATTTTCTGTATTTTTAAGTTTAAAATCATTAGACAAATGAGTTTTATTATTGCTATTATTATAAGATTCTAAAGTATCTGCTTTTGTATCTAAAGCTCCATCCGTAAACTCGGCGTTTTTTTCATTGTTCCAATAAAAATTGTTGTCGTGACTTTTATTAAGGTTTAAATCTCTTTTTGGTTTGTTGATAGTTGGTCGCTCTCTTTCTTCGGAGTTCATTTTCTGAATATTCTTTCCACTATTTACTAAATCCTTATCAGGACTCTCACGTGACACCTCCTTTCCATTTGATTTTGACAAACCCACTTTTGAAGGTCTGTGAGTCTGGTAAACATTAGATTTCAAATTTTTGCCATTTAGTTTTTCTTCCTTGTTATGATCGGCCATGTTGATATCTCAGTGATCACCTGCTCTGCATAATCTACAAATTACGCGCTTCGTTAGTCGCGCATGTTTTTAATTAGTTAGACGCAAAAAACAGACGCAACAATTTATTATATTTGGCAAAATTTTTTGAATATTTAAAATTTTATTTAATATAATACATTATTTAAAAACGTGTTGCAAATAATTTTGTTACAAAATATAATTCAAAAAAATGAATTGATTTTATGCTAAAAATATTGCTTTTATTATAGCATATCGTTACTGTTAAGTATTCTCAATAAGTTCCACGCCCTCGGTATGTTGAAAAAACAAGAAAAACAATACATAACTTCATTAATATGCTTTTGATATTGTGTAAAACAATAACAAAAATGATTAGATTGGAAATTCAATAAAATGGCTGATAAAAATTATAATTTTATTTTATTTTTATAAAAACTATTTGGAGAAAAAAAAATTTCAAAAACGTTTTTTAGTTTTAATTAGTTATTTAATTGCAAAGAACTTAAGTGATAAGCCACTTACAAGGGTCACTTACATTCATTTGTGTATTCAAAACTTTGATCTGATTTTACAAAACTTTTAAAACAAGATAATAACGCGGGAAGCGCAACACCTGTTAACTTTAATTTTTTAAAAAACTATTATAGTTATTTAGGTGCTCCAAGATTTCCTAACGGGGTTCACGCCTCTAACTTTGCAAATGGTGCATATATGGCTAGAGTCAGTATCAAACCACGAACATCTAGTTCTGAAGCCACAACTCTAACCACTACACCACAGCTGCTCTGATGATTTGCAAAACTGATTTAATATTATCCGCGAGGTGTTTCAAACGAATATAGACCACCTATTAAAATTTTTTTTTTGATAGATATGAGCTATTTAATGATAACTAAATAATAAATCTTTTACAACCCAGATCGCAGAGTTGAAGTTAAATCCCCTAGAATGAAATCTCTTTAATGTTAAAAGAAAAAAAAGCATATAGATTTCTTATTTTTTATCTTCACTTTGTTTTACATTTTAAACTAAAAATTGTTCACGGTCTATAAATTTCAAGCTTATTGCTTACGGCGATTCCCAAAACCTGCTTAAATAGGCTATATGTTATATACTAACTTCAATGCCGGATTAAGGAGGGGGGGGGGGCTATAGCTATAGCCTTAGACCCCGTAAATTTAGGGGTCCCCTAAAATTTTAGAGGACCTTTTTATTTTTTTAGTCATTTTTAGGCTCTGGCCCATAAAATGGTCTCAAAAAACAAAAATAGCCTCGAGCCCCAAGTCTTAATCCGCCACTGACTAACTTTAATTGTTAAAAAAATAATAAAAATATCTACTCAATTATTAAGATTTTGATGAAATTAAATTTGAAATCACAAGTTTTAAATAAACTTATTTTCTTTTAACATAAAATTTTTACAAATAAATATGAATCCAGAGTTCAACATCAATATCACGAGAAGTTTAATAATATCATTTTTTTTTTTATAAATATTTTATAAGTAAAAAGTTTCTTCACGAGTAATCTAAGTGAAATGCAGAGACTTTCCACAAACTTTGCAACATCCCAGCCAACACTTACATGGGCCCCATGTCTGTTCAACAAAGTTTACATGGGCCGATAAGGGCATGGGATTACGTTAAAGATTCGACATGGGACCGATATGGGCCGCCATCAAATAATACGATTTTTATAACTTATAGGTTGCCCATATTGGATCCACGTTGGTTTTTTATTGCGAACCTTTGTCATTATTCTGAACGGCTATTGGTTTAAATTGTTTTTATTGTGCCTTTAGTAAAAAATTGAAGCACTGAAAATATCTTAATAACTTTATCAAGTTTTTTGCTGAATACGTATAAAAAATGAGCAACAAAGTATATAGTGAGCAAAGTCAAAGACGTCACATTCGTGCAAGGGTAGATGAACATGTTAGAGTTGCTGCTATAGAGTCGTTTGATTATCAAACAAATCTATCAGATTCTGATCTAAATTTTATTAATGTTTCCTCTTTTACATTTACATCAGATGATCCTCTATCTCCAATGCGCCTTAATGAGGGAAACTTAACTATAAATTTACAATCTAATGATTTTTCTGTTCAATATAAAGATGATTTTTCAATGTTTAATAAAAATAGTAATCTTCATGGTGAAAATTGCGATGACTTTAAAGATTTTGGTACTGATTCTCAACATTTAAAAAGAGCCAATTTCCGCTCGTGAGAGTTTAGCTATATGAACAATTCAGTACAACATTTTACTTGCTGCAACAACTGCTTTACTGGTTATTCTTAAACCTTTTATTTTAGACATACCATTAGATGCTAGAACTTTACTATCTACTCCAAAAGTAACTGATATAGCGACTTGCGGAGATGGTCAATATTATCAATTTGGAGTATCTAACTCTCTGTGCTTATTTTTGAAAACTTCATTGATACCCTTAAATGATATATCAGATACATTAACGCTTCATATAAATATTGATGGTGTACCTTTATCAAGATGTTCAAGTTTATGTATTTGGCCTATTCTTGGTATGGTAAAAGAACATCTTGGTGTCTTTACAATAGACATCTACTCATGAAATTTCAAGCCTAATTGTGTAAATGATTATTTAAAAGCTTTTGTTGATGATATGTTGACAGTAGCAAGAATTGGTGTATGTTTTAATGGCAAAAAATTTAATATTACTTCTGATGCTTTTACTTGTGATGCACCTGCAAGATCATTTTTGAAGTGTACGAAAGGGCATTCTGGATATTTTGGCTGTGTACACAGCCATAATATCCAGAATGTAATAATATAAAGGTGTACACACAAAGGGGAGTACTTTAACAATTCTATAATATTTCCTGAAATTTCTTCTGCTTTAAGAACTGATGTGCAATTTAATGCATTTATTTGCTATGGTCATCATAATGGAAAATCTCCTTTGCATGACACAGGTATTGGTCTTATTAGTCAATTTGTTTTAGACTACATGCATCTTGTACGTTTTGGTATGGTCCAAAAACTTATTCACTTGTGGATGCCTGGTAAGGGATCTGGAAATATTTCATCGGCTATTGCTGTTGTTATCTCTAAACATCTTAACACAATTAGATCCTTTGTCCCCCAAGAATTCGCTCTAAAGCCTCGATCACTCTTTGAATTTCGGCAACGGAAAGCTACAGAGTTTAGACAATTTTTATTATATACTGGACCAGTTGTATTAAAAGATAGATTACCACCATTGCTGTATAGAGTTTTTTTAATCCTTTCTGTATCAATAAGACTACTATTAGTAGAGGATCCTTCTTCAGACACATGCGATTATGTTCAAAAACTTTTCAAAACTTTTTTTAAAGGCATTTTAAAGTTTTATGGAATTCAAAACTTAATTTATAATGACCATAGTCATATTAGACATATTGTTCAAGATGTTAGGAAATATGGATCCTTAAATAATATCTCTTGTTTTCCATTTGAGAATTATAATGGATATTTAAAAAAGTTAGTTAGGCGGCCACAGAACACTGTTGTCCAAATAGTAGTTCATCTTACTGAAAAACAACAAACTGCAGAAAAACAGGTTGAGTATGATAAAGTAAATGAAATAAATTGCTGCAAACAACCTCATTACGATGGACCGCTACCTGACAACTGTTTTAACTGTTTTCAGTTCAAAAGATTCATTGGAAAATTTTTAATACCGAAGTCTAAAAGAGTTAATTGTTTTAAACTAAATGGAAGTATTATTTTAGTAAAAAATATATATATATATATATATATATATATATATATATATATATATATATATATATATATATATATATATATATATATATATATATATATATATATATATTACTGGTTAATTCATCAAATAAAACTCAAGTTGTTTATCAAAAATATTGTATGGTTTCATTTTTTAATTATCCATTAGATTCAACTCTACTTGGAATTTATCTAGTAAAAGACCTTGAGAAACAATTAAATGTAGCTTCAATCAATTTATTGACGAAAAAGTATATCTTAGTTTCTATTGATCAGTATTATGTTGCTATGCCATTAATACATAATGATCACGGGAAGTATTTTTGAAACAAAACTAGCTTTTTTTAATATCATATTTATTAAATATTTTAAAGTTTGTTGAATTTAAACAGAAAATAAATGTGTGTGTGTGTGTGTGTGTGTATATTATAGCTCTGTGAATTGCTTTGACTCGATTTGCAAATCAAGTGTTGCTTTTACTTTGAAAAAAATGATTTGAGTTTTTTGAATCATTTTATATTTTGTTTGTGTTATTGTTTTTATAGATATCCATTGCTAAGTTTTTTTTCCTGGTAAACATTATTATTGATGTAGTTATTTATTTTAAAGTTTTTAAAAATAATACTGTTTTTCTAGAAGATTTAATTTATAATTTTCCTTGAACAATATAATTTTATTTATTTATTTATTCCTATTTAAATTTGTTTTGTTTGTTTTAGTTGTTATAATTTTTTTTTTTTTTTTTTTTTTTTTTTTTTGATAAAATATTTATTTACAATATTATAAAATACATTATCTCAAGTACTAAATATTATAGCTTTACAATATATTAGTTTTATAATTTATAAAATATAAATTTTAAAAACGTTCACAAAGGTTACAATAATAATATTTTTATATAATAATAATACAACTGTTACCATAGATATATATATATATATTTTTTATTTTCATATTGTTGTAATTTTTTGTTTTTCTAATTAAACATTTTTTTTATTTTTTTATTTTATATTTTTTTTGTGTTTTTCGATTTTATATTTTTTTGTATTTTTTTGTTTTTTTATTTTAGTGCCATTGTGCGGAGAGAAATCGAAAAATAAGGTAAAGTGGAAGAGAAGGATGTTTAAAAAAGGTTACAACAAATTTTTATTTAAAAGAAGAAATTTATAATAAAATAACAAAAATAATTACAGAACTTTAACACAAAAAACACATTACGTACGCTATAGAAAAACATTTAAATAAGGAAATTA